TATTAGTCAGGAGATTTAAAATTTTATATTTTTAAATCGAAATGATAAAAAAAAATATAAATAAGATACTTTGTAAAGGAAAATGAAAACTTGACTAATAATGTGAAATCATACATTTTAATAATAGAAAACAAAATTAGAAATAAAAGAAAGTTATTTCCTAATGACGTCGATGAGATGATGTGCCACATGATGGTGCATTTCTCCTTCAAGGTGGTTGGACTCTTAATTGTGGTTGTATTGGTTGTCTTGTACCACCTCTAACTAATTGGGGCTCCTCTTCATCTTCATCATCTTCGTCATCCTCATCATCATAGATGTTACTTTGTTGAACTTGTGTAGGCATTGTAGGTTGATAGTATTGTTGAGAGTGAAATGCTGACAAGGGTGTAGTTGAAGTCGTTCCAAACATGAATGGTAACATTCCTTGAAAATTTGATGAAGATGCGAATTGATGAGGGATGTAATAGTCAGTCATTGCTCCGAAACTTTGAAACCGAAATAGATGTTGTTGTTGAGGAACGGGTGTTTGGGTAAATGTCTGCGGATGAGTATCCATTTGAGTTTGACTCTCATAGTGTTGCGGGAACTCAGGTGCAATAGGCATATCAAAGTGGTGAGTCGAAGGAGCTTGATAATTGTTGTTGGAGAAGGCAGATGAAAGTAGTTTAGCGAACGCTTCCATCATCTCATTGCATTGCAAGTAGACGTCATTTATTATTTGCATCGGGTTGTGATGAACGTTTGGAGGAGCATATTGATCTCTACTTGATTTAATGAAATTATACTGAAAATAAAATCAATGTAAGGAAAAGAATAGAAAAAGAAAAAGAATTAGACAAAAAAATAGAAAAATAATATATGTTACCGATCCAGATGAATATGCTCTGTCTGGAGAGATGTACTTTCTCGTCCTTTGTAGGTACCACTGCATGTACTTGGAGTAGTGATATAATGGTTGTACATCGGGAAAACCATTCACCACATAGTTATCCCGATTTCCATATGTTATGTTAACTCGTTCACTACTACTAATCTCTAAACTGTTATTATCATCACAACATAGCTCAATGTCATTCTCATCACTAAAATCATTGACAATATCTCTAATAATCACCATCTATATATAAATATAAACAAACTATAAATAACAACCCAGAAATTAATTAAAACAATAAACTATTAAATATATTAACTTTTAAATATATATACCTTAAGCTTTGTTCCTCCTCCAAGCTGTGATTTTGTTTGAATGGTAGGAGATATATATAGATACATCGGACTCACACTCCGGACGTACGATTCACGTAAATCATGTACTGAAATCACGACTCCTGCAAGAAAATCGTGGCTGCAGAACACGACTTTAATGATAATACGAAAATCGCATTGCTCATACACGACTCCTGTCAGGGAGTCGCATACCTCACTCACGACAATATGATAATCGTGGACCTCATCGACGACTCCCATAAAAACTAGACTAGTCCCGATTTAAAGTTACACCAAAGCTGGCATAGTGTACTCCTATGCAAGTAATTCTTCCCCACTTAACTCAGATGAAGCATATGGACATGTTAGAAATTTATACTTAATGTGGACATATGTATATATATTTAATATAATTACATTGGGATTACAAAACAATTGATATAATTTTCACAACCTATAGGACTTCTGAAACTGATAACTGATATGAGCTTAATGAGTGAAAAATCAAACAGTTGACCTATAAAGTATAATGGGAACCCTAATTGTTAATGTAACACCCTAATTTTGAGTCTTTAAAATTATAGTATCAGTCCTGAAAGTCTCGCTTGAGCAAGAGATTCTCGCCTGAGCGAGAAAGGATCCTCTAGGATGGTGAACCATGGAAACTCATCCTTTCTAGTTATGGTTCGTTTTATGTTGTTTTTCTCTTGTAAACTCTTGGTTTAGAGTTGATATTTGATGAATGGAAAGGTTTTGTGGGTTATTCATGAAAACCCCAAAAACCCCCAAAATGAGAATATGGGTATAAAGAGAAAGAGAGGAAATGTTAGAGGTGGATGATGAGTTTGTGCTTTGATGTTGATATATGAGATAAACATGTATGTTTAGATGTTTGAAAACTTGTATTGAAGTAGTTTTGGAAATCTTGAATATATGTGAATCCCTTGTATGTTTGATGATGAAATACGAGTTATTTATGTGTTATTTTGAATAAATGACTGACATTGTTGTTATTGGTGGAAATGAGGAAAGATCCTAAGGTTGGAGGAAATTACGGAGGAGACTTTTAAAGTTACTCGGAACCGATCCCCAACACTCACTAAGGTAAGGGATAAGTGACTCTAATTCATACTCATTGATGTGAATGAGGTATGTGAAAGAGGTAATGTGTTGGTAAGTTTATTGTGTCCTACCCGGAGTGGTAGTGGACTGTTAATGTGTCCTACCCGGAGTGGTAGTGGAACTGTTATTGTGTCCTACCCGGAGTGGTAGTGGACTGTTTTTGTGTCCTACCTGGAGTGGTAGTGGATTGTTATTGTGTCCTACCCGGAGTGGTAGTGGAACTGTTATTGTGTCCTACCCTGAGTGGTAGTGGACTGTTATTGTGCCCTACCCGGAGTGGTAGCGGACTGTTATTGTGTCCTTCCGGGAATGGTAGTGAATTATTGTGAACTCGACCTGCCCAATGTGGTATGGGGTAATAACTCGACCTGCCATATGTGGTATGGGGTAATAACTCGACCTGCCCGATGTGGTATGGGGTAATAACGTAATAACTCGACCTGCCCTATGTGGTATGGGGTAATAACTCGACCTGCCCTATGTGGTATGGGGTAATAACTCGACCTGTCCTATATGGTATGGACTAATAACTCAACCTGCCCTATGTGGTATGGGGTAATAACTCGACCTGCCCTATGTGGTATGGGGTAATAACTCAACCTGCCCGATGTGGTATGGGGTAATAACTCGACCTGCCCGATGTGGTATGGGAAATGAAATTGATGAATACGATTAAGGGTGAATATGAATGATGAGAAGTGTGGATGTCACAATGAATGTCATATGCATGCTATATGATATATATTATGGGATGTATATTCTATAGGGTGAATATGAATGATGAGAACTGTTGTAAGGACCCGATTTTCATAACTCGGAAATTCTCTTTTAAAATCCTTATTCGTGAAAGTGAAGTGATTACTTTTGAAAGACATTACTCGAACAGTTTGGAAACTTGAGAGAATACATTTATAAATTTACAAGGCGGAAATATTCCAAACATCTTTCATTTCAAAAGCATGTCATTACACTTCCGTTCAAATACATACGTTATACAATTACACTTTCTCAAAATTACCTTGAATACAAACATTAGATCCACTTCAATATACACTTACAAGAAAGTTGTTTATACATGAATTCACTTTAACATGTTCTTCATATTACAAATATTCATCATATAACATATTAATTACATATTATCTACTACTCTATCATGTACTCTTCTCCGCAAGCGTCCAATGCGCTACCTCCACAACCTGAACCCAAATATACAACACATACAAGGAAAGACAGAGGGAGTAAGAACCAACTACGGCGAGTCATATTTCCCAAATAGATTGAATTCGTTTTGAGTCATATTTCCTTTGGTACTCCCCAAATAGATTGAATTCGTTTTGAGTCATATTTTCTTTGGTACTCCCCAAATAGATTGAATTCGTTTTGAGTCATATTTCCTTTGGTACTCCCCCAAATAGATTGAATTCGTTTTACAAAACAGAAAAGTCACGCATTTTCCAACATAATGCATAAATTCCAAACATATTATTTTAAAAGCATTACCTCTTTCACATACCTCATTCATATCAGCAAGTATGGTTTAGAGACACTTATCCCTTAAATGTATATAACAATCAACCACTCACAACATACTCATTTTGATAAACATACTCAAATCCATTTAACACATTCACAACTCATCACACATTCGTGCCCATTGCTCAGTGCTCAGTGCCCAGTGCTCAGTGCCCAGTGCTCAGTGCCCAGTGCTCAGTGCCCAGTGCTCAGCGCCCAGTGCTCAGCGCCCAGTGCTCAGTGCTCAGTGCCCAGTGCTTAGTGCTTACTGCTTAGTGCTTAATGCTTAGTGCTTAATGCTTAGTGCTTAATGCTTAGTGCTTAATGCTTAGTGCTTACTGCTTAGTGCTGAGTGCTGAGTGCTGAGTGCTGAGTGCTGAGTGCTGAGTGCTTAGTGCTTAGTGCTGAGTGCTTAGTGCTTAGTGCTGAGTGCTGAGTGCTGAGTGCTGAGTGCTTAGTGCTGAGTGCTGAGTGCTGAGTGCTGAGTGCTGAGTGCTGAGTGCTGAGTGCTGAGTGCTGAGTGCTGAGTGCTGAGTGCTGAGTGCTGAGTGCTGAGTGCTTAGTGCTGAGTGCTTAGTGCTTAGTGCTTAGTGCTTAGTGCTTAGTGCTTAGTGCTTAGTGCTTAGTGCTTAGTGCTTAGTGCTTAGTGCTTAGTGCTTAGTGCTTAGTGCTTAGTGCTTAGTGCTTAGTGCTTAGTGCTTAGTGCTTAGTGCTTAGTGCTTAGTGCTTAGTGCTTAGTGCTTAGTGCTTAGTGCTTAGTGCTTAGTGCTTAGTGCTTAGTGCTTAGTGCTTAGTGCTTAGTGCTTAGTGCTTTTAGTGCTTAGTGCTTAGTGCTTAGTGCTTAGTGCTTAGTGCTTAGTGCTTAGTGCTTAGTGCTTAGTGCTTAGTGCTTAGTGCTTAGTGCTTAGTGCTTAGTGCTTAGTGCTTAGTGCTTAGTGCTTAGTGCTTAGTGCTTAGTGCTTAGTGCTTAGTGCTTAGTGCTTAGTGCTTAGTGCTTAGTGCTTAGTGCTTAGTGCTTAGTGCTTAGTGCTTAGTGCTTAGTGCTTAGTGCTTAGTGCTTAGTGCTTAGTGCTTAGTGCTTAGTGCTTAGTGCTTAGTGCTATAAATAGTGAAGGACTTCAAAGGTTAAACTGTAGAGTTATTATTTCAAATTGAGATAAGCTTAAAAATACAATGCACAAGCATTGGATGTTCTGAGTTGCTTATAACATTAACTATCTATTCCTTAAGTATTTACTCTTCCTTTATTTCAAGAAATTTATTAGCCATCTTTTCTGACAAAAATACACGGACCTGTGTGTACTCGTCAAAATACCCATAACAAGTACATGCAAAAATAGCTCATGGGTGAGAACGAGTATATGATACCCGCCCTAAAGGTATCCGCTTATATATTTTAATTAAATATTTTATACTTAATTATTATTAATTTAACATTATATTTCTCTATTTTATTATTATTTCTTAATAAAATTTAGTAATAAGATTATAATCATAAAATTATCATATACATTCATATTACTTAAGTAATAATTATTTTATATATTAATTATTGTAAAATATATATTGAAAACCAGTTGGGTACCCGCAGATATCCGCTACCCGCACGAGTACCCACAAATAGTGCGGGTATGGGCACGAGTATACACTACCCATGCCCGGCCCCATTGTCATTCCTGAATTTATTTTCGAGTTCATAGTTTTATCATCTCAATGAGTGATATATAAAGATAAGAGTTTGAGTGTATTTGTTGTAAAGCCTAGAGTTAGAAAAATCTGTAAGGTGGCTGAAGATCGTTAGAGCTGAAAAGTACATATTAATAAGTCTAAATAGACAGACAACAAATAATGGAAAAAGATCCTCTCTCCATTGAGTCGTACTCATAAATAATACATATTTAGATCTTGGGGAGACTAAGTACTAAATAATACATAACAAGTTTGTTGAAGCTTGGTAATTAACCAAAACTAAGAACAACGAGCCTGAAGAGACTCGATAAAATAGAATACTTTCCTATGCTGGGAGAGGCCTTGATGCTTGACACATAGAAATTGTGAAAAGTAACAAGCAACGAACACATATTCATTATTCAACCTCCGTAGTTGAATATGCTACAATACTCTGCCACTTGCTTTAAATGAGAAAAGATTATCTTCAATGTAGTGGCATCCTCCACTTGTAGCACCATCTACTGTCGATAAATATGTTACTCTTCGAAGAGTTTGTAATCGATCACATAAACAAACACTCAACATGATATCATGTCTGAATGTCGTAAGATAAAAGAAATATCCTATCATACCTTTATATATCGTTTGATCTTCCTTTTTATATTTCTTATCACTGTTCAAATGATTGTAGGGTACATTGGCGTGTTCTTCAGAAATCGTTTTTGTATACTTTGTCTGGTGGATGTAGACCTAATCCATTGTTCGCTTTAAATGAAGTCCAAGAAAGAACTTTAGTTCTACCATCATGCTCATTTCGAATTCCTTCTACTTAGCTTAGAAAATTGTTGGCATGGAGATTCATCAGTTGTACAAAAAATAGTATCATCCATATATATTTGTACAACACCGAAATCTTTATTATATGATTTTCTAAACAAGGTTGTATCAATCTTTCTTCTCTTAAATCCATTCATCATTAAACTTATATATGTGATTTGGATGAGAATCATCTTCAAAGCCGGAGGTTTTGCAATATATGCTTGTTCACTGATTAATCTATTCAAGAATGAACTTTTCACATACTTTAGATAAAGCTTTATCTTATGATGTGCATCAAAAGATAATGAGATGCGAGTTGCTTCTAATCTAGTTACTAATGAAAAAGTTTCAGTAAAGTGGATACTGAAACTTGAGCTATCGAGCTAGAACTATTTCTTACCATATTACTTTCCTCGTCAAGCTTATCCTTTAAACTCACTTCGCTACAATAATTGACCTCTCTAATTCAATTATTCATAAGTTTGAGTAGGGACCATCTCCATTAATGGAGAGGCAAGTGATATTATTACACTTAGTTTTAAGGACAAAAAAGTCATTACAAGTGTAATAGAAAGATTGAATTGTCTTTTCATTTTTCATTTTGCATTGTTTTACACCTCACTTGTCTCTCTATTAAATGAGAGAATTCGTAACCCTTGCATCAGGCTTTCATCAAGTAGAGTAGTATCTATATTCTTTGGTTCTATTTTAGATACTACTCTAGAATGTTCCATTACTATTAAACTTAATCTAGCCCTTATCCTATCAGTGAGGCCTTTGAGTGTGGTAGTTTGCCTTTGGTTTGATATTTTGACTCGTGTAGTTCTAAAAACCTTTTATTATGATGCTTTCATAAAACCTTATAGATTCCTCTACAACCAAGGTTCTGTAATTATAAAATAATTCCACTAGGTTATTTGTGACCTTTCCATAATTCATAGGGATTTTTATCCGGGTCTAATATATATTATGTTATGAAAACTATAGGTCGTCCTAACATGCAATTTTTCTTGGTGTTTGAGGTATTGAGAAGTTATGGAAGATTCCACTATCTTAACGTAACTTCTTGAAAAGCTCATTTTTGTTAAAATATTGATGTACATTTCTAGAAGCTTCCACACTTGTGTAGAAACAAGTAGTGATTTTCTATCATAATATCTAGAATTATCTCCTAAGCTTCTAGTAGATTCTAGTGTAGGTGCTTAGCAAAATAATGATAGAAGTTTCTAGAAGTCTAAAGACTTATTTATAAGAAACTAGAAACAACTAGTAGAAGAAGAAAACTAATATGCATCTCTAGAACATTCTACAAAGTGCTAGACAATAGATTTCTCTAGAAATCTTGAGTCAATATAGGCTAGAAATGTATGGAACTTTCTAGTCTTTCTTAAGTGTTGTAGAAAGCCTATAAATAGGCATTCACCCTTCATTTGTGAAGTATGCAATGCATGAATTGTAGCCAAAACCTCCAAGTTATTCTAAATACAATATCTATTGTGTATTCCTATTCCAATCTAATTAAGTTTGACAATTGCTATCTAAATCAATTCTAAAACCTTATTTCTATCACTATATCTACTATCTTTCCTCAAATACTATCAGTGGTATCAGAGCTACATTTCGGTCATACACTGGGCGTAGAATATCACTTTATACCCATTGAGCTATGACTAGCACTATTCAATCATCATCTATTCCCATTCCAATTTTCTCTGGAGAAAACTATGATTTTTGGAGAACAAAAATGACTGCTTTCTTCCGGTCTCAAGATTTATGGGACATTGTAGAAGAAGGATTCACTACTCCAGAGAATACTTTAACTCTTACTGCGGCTCAGAGAAAGGAGTTGAAGGAGAATGTGCAAAAAGACGCAAAGACATTATTTATTCTACAACAAGCCTTGGCGGAGACTATCTTTCCAAGAATAATGGGAGCTACAAGTGCCAAAGAAGCATGAGATACACTAAAGGAGGAGTTTCATGGCAGTGAAAAGGTACGCACCATTAAACTTCAAACTCTTAGACGTGAGTTTGAATTACTTAAAATGAGAGAGTCTGAGACCATAAAAGACTATTATTCTAAAATAAAAGAAATAGTCAATCAAATGAAAGCCTATGGGAAAAATATTCTTGACAAAGAATTGTTGAGAAAATTATAATTTCTATTCCCCAAAAATATGACTCAATTGTTACTGCAATTGAGCAAACCAAAGATATGTCTACTCTATTAGTGACAGAGTTAATGGGTTCTCTAGAAGCTTATGAGCAAAGATTGAGTAGGCATGATGAAGGTTCACTAGAAAATACATTTCAATCAAAGTTTCGGATAAGGTCCCAAAATAAAGATTATGAAAGAAGAAATGATAATGGTGCGGAATATTCTAGAAATAAAGAGATTTCTAACGATTTCTTTAGAAGCAAGGAGATTTCTAAAGATATCTCTTGAAACAATCAAAAACAAATATCATTCATGAAAATTTTCAAGAAACCATGCCATTCAGAAAAACATTGTTGGCATCGAGGAAAGCCACAATGCCAATATTGCAAAAGATTCGGGCGCTCAGAGCAAAACTGTCGCAACAAAAATAATCATCAGGGCAATTTCACTGAAGAGTGTGAACATGACCAACAACTATTCTATGCCAACTGTAATATCCAAAATTTAAGTCTTTAAAATTATAGTATCAGTCCTAGGATTCTCGCTTGAGGGAGAGATTCTCGCCTGGGCGAGGAAGGCTCACCTGGGAGGGTGAAATCCTGGCATATACTGGAGGATCCTCGCCTGAGCGAGAGTTGTCTCACCTAGGTGAGAAATGGCATTTTGGGACTGTTGAGACTATGAGATTCTCGCTTGAGCGAGAGGGTCAGATCTGAGTTTTTAAAATAGGCGGGATTTTCTCGCTTGAGCGAGAACCCGACGCTATTACATTAAATAGGGAACCCAAACACATTTATGAGGGTTAACCTAGAGAGAAGTGAGAGAAGAGATCCTGAGGTTGGAGGAGGTAGCGAAGGAACTTGCAAAGTTACCCAAAACCAACCCCGACACGTACCAAGGTAAGGAGAAGTTATTAATGGTATATGATAATAGAAAATGTGTGGATTTTCTGATTACGTATATGATCTATGTATGACTTGCCCGATGTGGTATAGAGAATGACCTGTCCTATGTGACATCATGTATGACTTGCCCTATGTGGTATTGTGTATGACTTTCCCTATGTGATATTATGTATGACTTTCCCTATGTGGTACTGTGTATGACTTTCCCTAAGTGGTATTGTGTATGACTTTCCCTAAGTGGTATTGTGTATGACTTGCCCTATGTGGTATTGTGTATGACTTGCCCTATGTGGTATTGTGTATTACTTGCCGTACATGGTATTGTGTATGACTTGCCCTAAGTGGTAATGGAAAGGTAAACGTACAAGTGAAAAATAATGATTTGAAATGGTATGGATGAAGGAGGTGACAAGGTATGGTAGAGATGAACGGGTAAATCCAAAGTGTTGGATGTGGTTACATGAGACGGACAAACATGATATGTAGATTTTATCTTTTAATGTTAAGTCTTCTATTAAAACCCTAAAAGTGTGGATTATTATTTACTGATGTTTATTGAATTAATGACTTACTCCTTTGTTGTTGTGTATATCTGTCATGATAATCCCATTGCAGGTAAACGAGGTAGTTGAGGATACTCGGTTCGAGGCAGGAGGAGCTTAGAACTCGGAATCCTTATTTTGCTTTTTGTTTGATGTAAACTGTTAATTGGATATTGTAAATCCTAACTGATTTAGTACTACCTTTTTGTAATGCTGGATATTAATAGCTATGGGTATTTTGGAATCCCATAGCTAGTCATATGCGGTACTTACCGATAAGGAAATATATGAATTATGTTTTTCTACTTTATGTGAAAGGGTTCTAGTACATTACGATAACTGAATTTGAAGTATTGAATGTCATTTAACTGAAGAGGAATAGAGATGATAAGAATATCTATATTAAAGTGAGAAAAATTTTCAAGGGTAGAATTTGGGTCCTTACAATATGGTATCAGAGCATAGTTAATCTTGCGGCCTAGGGTATGGCCTTACTTGCTTCTTTGTAACTTTTGTTTGATTTAACTATGTGATTTAGATGAACTGTTGTGTGGTTATGTGATGATTTATCTGGTAAAACGTGGTTTACTAATGAGCCAATGAGTATAGGTACCCGATTACGGAAATGTCTTGAAGAGGAAGAGGCAGGGGATCAGGTCAGAATGATTTGTTGGCTCAGATTGCGGTAGTGCTGATGAACATGAATGAGAATTTGCAGCATCTGAACCAGAATACGACGCCAAGCCCGAGTTCCCAACCTTTAGTTCCGCCTGGGTCGGCTGAGTACAAAGGTCTAGATGAATTCTGCAGGAGGAATCCCAGCCAGTTCCAAGGAGGATTCGCCCCTGATGCAGCCATTGAATGGGTCCAAGGATTGTAAAGGATCATCAGGGCCATGAGTTTTTTTGATGCTCAGAAAGTGGCATACGCCACTTACATGCTAGTAAATGAGGCTAAAAACTGGTGGGAAATGGTCTGGAGACAGATGGAGGCGGAAGGGCAAATCATCACTTGGGGAAACTTCAAGGGTAAATTCCTTCAGAAGTATTTCCCTGCAGACCTGATGAGGAAGAAAGAGATGGAATTCTTACAATTAGAGCAAGGTAGCATGTCAATGGGGGAGTACGCGGCCAAGTTTGAGGAGTTGATTCAGTATTGTCCTTATGCTGAACTAGAATTGGATGGGAGGTCCAAATGTGTTAAGTTTGAGATGGGGTTGAAGCCCGAGCTTAGGGTGACGTTTAGTCACGAAGAAATTGCTAATTTTCCTACACTAGTGAACAAGTGTAGAATGCATGAGGATAATGTGCGGATGAGGGATGTTGCTGCTTGTAAAGGGAACCCTCCACGAAACTATGGCGCCCAACGCTACATTGTGCAAGGGAAGGGTAAAGAGAAGATGAGTCATGACCGACGACCTTATGCTCCACTAATGAGTCATATATTACACACTATTCATAACCTTAATTTACCATTGTTAATGATTCTTGGTGTCTAATTGACTTTGTTTGGCATGGTTTAGTGTTTTGGGCTTCA